TGGAGTATGTACTGCATAAATAAATAAACTGCAAACATATGTACTTTGACCGAAACGATTGCCAGATCAAAATGGAATTGATAGAATCTGCAAAACACAGCTTTTACAGCATACCTCTAACACTTGAAACTTCTCAAGTCTCTTTTTGGCAAGACTCAAGTAAGGGACGAGTCGAGGTTCTTTTACCTCGTACTCGCCTAGTATCTGCTTGACCATCAGCATCGAGTCTGAGTAGACGACCAAGTTAGTTATGCTCATCGCTTCTGCCAGGGTCAGGTCGGACAACAATGATTCGTACTCGGCTTCGTTGTTCGTCGCCGGGAAGAGGTATTGAATTGAGTGGCAGAACAATTTCTTCTGGGGATCCACGAGGACGACTCCCCCACCCGCTCTTCCGGTGGTGGACGAGCCATCGACATACATCACCCAAGGTTCGTCGTCCTTCCTTTCCTCGACCCCCGGTGTGAACTCGGCGATGATGTCCGACAGTACTTGCCCCTTTATTGCTGTTCAGGGCTGGAAATGGATGTCGTATTGACCAAGCTCGACCACCCATTTAACAATCCTACCCGATGTGTCGGGTCGATGTAGGATTTGCTTCAACGGAAAGGAGGTGAGGACAATCACAGTGTATTCGAGAAAATAATGTCTCAATTTTCGGGCAGCCATCATTAATGCGTAGGCAAACTTTTCCATGGGTTCGTATCTTAATTCGTGAAGGGCTTTGCTGACATAGTAGACTGGGTATTGTTATGAGTCTGCTTCTCGGATCAAGGCAGAGCTTATAGCCGCCTGAGATACGCCTAGGTAGAGGTACAACACTTCTCCTGGGAGTGGCTTCTGCATGGTGGGTGGATGGCTCAGGGCGTCCTTGATCGCTTCTAGAGCTTGTTGGCATTTCGGCATCCATGCGAACTTGTGGTTTTTCTTTATGGCCTCGAAAAATGGCTTGCATTTGTCGGTTGACTTGGAGATGAATCGGCTTAGTGCCGCTAACTTTCCAGTCAGGCTCTGGACCTCCTTAATCAAGGTCGGCGGCTTGAGATTTTGTATTGCCTCAATTTTTTTAGGATTGGCGTCAATGCCGCGTTGACTTACTATATAGCCCAAGAATTTTTCGAAACCGACGCCAAATGTGCATTTGTTCGGATTTAATTTCAGGGAGTAATTGCGCAAAATAGAAAACATTTTATTAAGATCGTTTACATGATTGGACGCGTACACTGACTTGACGAGCATGTCGTCTACATAAACTTCCATACTTTCTCCTATCAGACTAGCGAACATCTTATTGACTAGGCGCTGGTAGGTGGTCCCAGCATTTTTCAGTCCAAACGACATCATCTTGTAGCAGTAAAGACGTCGTGCCGAGTAGAAGGACGTGTGCTCCTCGTCGTCCGGGTGCATGGGGATCTGGTTGTAGCCTGAGTATGCATCCATGAAGCTCATCAGCTCGTGTCCAGAAGTAGCATCGACCATGTAGTCGATGTGAGGGAGCGTATAGCTATCCTTTGGGCACGCCTTGTTCAGGTCGGAGAAGTCGATACATAAG